GGTGTGTGTGTGTGTGTGTGTGTGTGTGTGTGTGTGTGTGTGTGTGTGTGTGTGTGTGTGTGTGTGTGTGTGTGTGTGTTTCCAATCAAATTAAAACTAAAATAGAATGATTTAAACGTGTAAATTTTTTTGCAAATTAATAAATGAATAAATATACAATATAAATTAAAGATTATATATATGTTGGAAGGAGACCATATTTTATACAGTATTGTACGAATTCTACTGAATTGTTGGCATTAATTAATAATTTATAGTTTGTCTTTTTAATTTTCATTACTAAATTTTCTGGAAATTTGTTCAATTTATTGAAAAATAGAATAATTAATTCAACAATTTCCAGAGAATTCTAGTAAGGAAAATTGAAAAGGCCAACTTTAAATTGCGTAATACCAACAATTCGGTAGAATTCCTACAAAACTATATATATATCATGTGTTAAATGATATATATCTATGTATCTTTTCCAACGCAAATAAAGTAAGAAACTTATTGCAAAATGGATTAATTAATGTAGATAGATGGTACAAATAAATAGACTAATAAATAGATACATGGGTATGCGTGTGTTTGTTTGTGTGTGTTGGTGTGTGTGTGTGCATGTAGTTTATTTGACAGCGTTAATTTGAATGATAGATAAGTGATAGATAGATCTGTCGCGATATAAAAGTGTGTTACAAAATCTTAATCAATAAGATCCGAAAAAGTATATCTAATTGTTTGTTGCCTTTGAATGAATTTTAAATTAATAAATTATAAATATAGTAAAGGCTAAATTACTTAACCTTTAACCTTTTATAAATATAATAAGAATTGTAGGTTTGTGGTTTTGCTGTACGTTGGGCATAAGATGTGTGGGCATTCAAATATGTATATAAGTCCTGGGGTGTGGTGCATGTTACAGACGCTTTGGCATGAAACTTTTAAGATGAAAAAATGTTATGTACTGTAATGTAATGTACTGTAAGTAGTTATGTATGTACATGCCAGCAATGTATGTTACTAAATGAATGTTTCTTATTATTACGCTTTCACGTGATCATTGTGCTTTTTCTAATTTCTAATCTAAGATCTCCGAAATCGTGTTCAGCTTTTCGGCTAATCTGTTCGCCACTACTAAAAATTCCTCGACAATTGCTTTTTGTTGTTTGAAGTCTTCGCGTTTTTCTTGTGTAATTGCGACTGCATCGGCGCGTCGAAAAAATTCGCTGAATAGTCTTACTAAACGAAATAACTCGCTTCTCGCTTCAGTTAGGTAGTCGTTTTCCGGATTTTTTGATGTGCTCAAGTTTGGCTGGGATGATGTTTCAGTGATGTGCTGATCTAAGGTTGTTATGAAATCCGATAGTTTGTTTTCTGTTTTTGTCAAAAGGTAGTCTAGTTCTGATCTGTTGACGTTGTTGTTGTTGTTGCAGACCTGTGTAGTTGTCGTTTTTGCTATATCAACTAGATCTAATATTATGTCCTGTAGTTGAGTTTTGATGTTGCTGCTGTTGTTGGTACTATTGTTAACGTTGTTGCTGTTGCTATTGTTTTTATTGCTGTTGTAATTATTGTTGTTGATGTTATTGCTGTCAGTAAAGTTAGAAATCGAGCTGATGAGATCTGCTCTGATATCGTTAAGACTACACGTTATATTGTTGTCATTGTTGTTGTTGTTGTTGTTGTTGTTGTTGTTGAATTCGTTGCCATTGTTCATGTTGCCAGTGTTGCTACAAAATGATGTCCTAACCAAATTGATATTATTTAATAGTGGTGACGACGACGAAGATGATGTTCGTGGCTTTGGTCTTAGTAATTTTGATGTGGAAGATGTTGCTGCTACTGCTGCTGATGCTATTGAAGCTGCTGTCGCGGCTGCTGGTACTGCTGATGTCGTTGATGGGTTTGTTGATGATAAAGACGATAATGATAATTTTGTTGTTGTTGACGATGATTTTAACTCCGTTTTGTTTGACGATGATGATGACGACGACAATGATGATGATTGTGGTGGTTTTAATGATGAGAATGATTGTGGTGGTTTTAATGATGAGAATGATTGTGGTGGTTTTAATGATGAGAATGATTGTGGTGGTTTTAATGATGAGAATGATTGTGGTGGTTTTAATGATGAGAATGATTGTGGTGGTTTCAATGACGATGATGATGATGACGATGATGATGAAAAAGGTGGTTTTGATGATGATGACTGATTTGTTTGCGTAATAAATTTTTCAATGCTAGTTTTCAGTACTGGATTATTTGTATTATTATTATTATTATTAATATTATTATTACTACTACTACTACTACAATTACTATAATTGCTATTATTTATTAGGCCGCTGTGAGTTAAACTGCTACTGCTGCTACTACTATTGTTAATACTACTATAATTAATACAATGTTTATTATTGTTATTATTATTATTAATATTATTATTGTTGTTGTTGTTAATGTTGTTATTTTTGTTATATTTAGTCAAAGTGTTATTATTATTATTGTTGTTATTATTATTATTATTATTATAACTTAAATCCTCTTTTAATCCGAAAGAACTCGTGAGAGACTGACAAATTCGAAAATTCATGCCCGAAAAAATGAGCGCCTCATCATCGCCATCGATGCTGACGTTCGTCACGTGACTTCCGTTTCCGCTGGAGTTGGAATTTTGACGAAACATCGTGAGGATGCGGTTTTGTTTTTTTGGGGCCGGTTGCGAAAAAAATGACCTCAATTTGCGATCATAAACTGAATTTGTTCTACTTATGTGATTATTATTAATGTTGTTGTTGTTGTTGTTGTTGTTGTTGTTGTTGTTGTTGTTGTTGTTGTTGTTGTTGTTAATAGCGACAGTATCGGTTCGGTCGGTTCTCGGCGAATCGTCATCTCTCCACTGATAAGGTTTAATATCACCGCGAAAAGTTTGGAAAAAAAGTTGTCTCTGTGCCGAATATGACGGTAAAGATGATGACGACGATGGTGGTGATGATGGTGGGAGTGGTGATGATGATGATTTTATTGGTGTTGATAACGATGTCGGTAGAGATAGGTTTATTAATTTTTTATTTTTCTGAGGTTTCTTCTGGGCTTTGAATTTTTTAAAGAACCAGCCGCTGTCAACTTCATTATCTGCATCAGTATTTTTTCCATCGTCCTCATATCCGTCATCTTTGTGGAAAACCGCATCGTCGGATACCGACGACATCTCCGACAACCGCCAAGAAGACATCGGGCACATTCCGTCCCGACTCGATAGTTTCGATCCGTTTCGGTTTTTACGAATAATCGGTGTCAAAGATGACGATGGGGCTGTGTTATAAAGTGACGAAGATGATGATGAAAATGTCGGCTTTTGTGAAGTTGGAGTAAAAACGGCGGGAAAAAATTTTAAACTTTCGAATTCGACATCACTGCAATAGTCGGCAATGTCGGTTTCTTGGACGGTTCTAGGACTGGACGCCGAATACCGATTAGTCGGTTGGTAGTTGTTGCTTTGTTGCGTTGGTTTATGGAAGTGATAATGTTTTTTTTTCGGGGATTTCCAGGTATTAGTTTCGTTTATCTTTTGTAGTTTCGTTTTGAAGTTTCTTATAGGGTTAGAGTGTCGATTGGAATATTGATCGGTTGGTGAGTTCGGCGTCAGTGAACGTTTGGTTTCGTTGTGAAGATGATTGTTGTTGTTGTTGCTGCTGCTGCTGTTGCTGCTGCTGTTGTTGCTGTTGTTGTTGGACGATAAATTCAAGTTTAACATGGAGCCCGCTTTGATTTTTTGAAATTTTTGTTGTTGTTGATATTGTTGTTGCGGTTTAAATACTGGATGCCTCGGCAATGAATGATAACCACTATAACTATTATTAGTAGTAATATTATTGTTGTTGTTGTTGTTGTTGTTGTTGTTGTTGATTGTCATTGTTTTGATCACGTTATCATCACCATCATCATCGCCTATGTCATCGTCGTTTATCGTGTCATACTCTTCATCATCATCATCATCAAAACTATCATCATCATCATCGTCGTCGTTGTTGTTGTTGTTTTTGTTGATGAACATTGGCATTGACTTTGCTTTAAATAAGCGTTCTTTGTTTGTGTTGTTGTTGTTGATTTGTTTTCGTAACAGTTCTCGCATTAAAACGTCATCACGAGCTATCGCTGGCGTTGTTGTTGGCGTATCTGCTGTAATTGAGGTAGTCGTTGTTGTTGTTGATGGTTTCGGTGACGTCACTGCTGCTGTTGTTGTTGGTGATGTCATAGCGGTTAGAGTCACTGTCCGTGGATTGAGGTTCGATGATGTTGTCGTCAGGGCGGTTTTGTTAATGCTGGGCGAACTATCGGTCTTTATGTTGTTGTTGTTGTTGTTGGTGATGTTGTTGTTGATGTTGTTGCTGTCGTTGTTGTTGCTGTTGATGTTGTTGTTGTT